TAAAAGAATAGATCGACTACAACCTCCCATTTGGTATCGTGTTGAATAGTTTCTCGAAGACGAAGACCTCACGAGCTAATAGCCACCAGAGAAGACCAATACTGTGTGGAGAGTTGTTAGTGCCAGGAATAGCAATGTCAACTAATCTCAAAGCAATAACTGGAATGTTGATATGAGAACCTTCGGTAATAGGCTGATGATCAAAGGGTGGATCAGTAACAATCAATAAACGAGGTTCTCTAAATGAAGCTTGAATCTGATTTGTGAACGCATCAGGAGTGAATCTTCCTGCTACAGGAGTAACTCCAGTATGTGTAGCAAATTTGAGAACGTTGTCCATAAGGACGAGTTGAAATGATGAACACTTCATTAGGGTGTTTTATACCTACAATAGCCCGTGAAGCCAACAAGAGTTTTTCCCATGTTTTATGAAGATTAATAATGGGAATTCCATCAGAGCGACGTTTGTGGACACATTGTTCCATTTGGAAATCCACATTTGCAGTTCCAAGTTTTTGAGAGCAAGAGCATCTATACATCATTCCTAATTTTATGGATATGTCGATAATAAAAACTTTACAACGAGTATTTCTGAATATGCAAATAAAAATTGTAAGACCACTCAGTGGTGAAGAATCGAGTGGAGCACTCGAATCTTTACATCACCTAGCGTGTTGAAGTTCGTTTTTATTTATTCTATGGCTGTTAAGTTGCCCATAAAACTCAAATTTAAAAAACAGGATTTCCAGCTGACAGATTGAGTACCTACATAAAATACTAAATGTGCCCTCCTTCGCTGTTCAAGATCAATTATATTTATCAGCGGCAATGAGTTATTTACATTAATGAATCCTTAATGATTATTCAAACATACCAATTACTTTTTTCTCACACCAGCCTCAAGATTGATCAGTATTCATAATCGAGTTGCAAATTCGAAAGCAACTGAATAATTATGTGGGTAAGTATCGATTTATATAATTTCATAGCGATGAATGGAAAATTGAACGGCAAAAAATAAGTAGCATTTAGAATTATTCCAAAACCCTGAAGGTGCCCGTAGGTAAGAAACTAGTTGATAGTTGTTGGTAGTTGTTGATATAAAAGAATATAACATTGGAAATGAAAATAGCACTAACAACTTTGAAATTTTGGGGATCGAAACAGAAATGGCATTAGGAGGGGCATTGAATAGCATTAATAACAAACACCAGGCGTCATATATCATGAAAGGTAGTTTTACGAATGAATTGAAACTTGTGAAATCAATAGGCAGTAAAATTAACGAAAATAATGTCATATTGACTAGAGCAGATAAAAGCAACAAAGTGGTTGCTATTGACCGAATCGACTATGTCAACAAAACCCTAGATTTCTTGAATTTGGGAAATTTTGAAATGCTGAAACGTGATCCAACTAATCCCTTCCAAAGACAAGTGAAAGATTTTTCGAAAAGTTCAACTATACTTTTTACTGAAAGGGAAAAGTTCAAATTAACAAATTCCAAAATTATACTCACTAATTAAACTGCACAAACAGAGGTATCCAATTAGACCAGTGGTTTCCTTTGTCACTACACCATCAGTGAAATTATCAGAAAGGCTAATCAATATCATCTTGATCCATTGTCACTTCCAACCAAAATTCATTTTTAGGAATTCATGTGACTTAATCAATTAAATAGAGAACATAACTCTACTAGACAACGCAAAATTACTATCATTTGATGTGCAGAATCTAAGTCCTAGCATACCTCGTGATGATACTATTACTTTAGTAGAAGAAGTATTAGATAAAAATAGAGTGAACCCAGTCATAAAACGGGAAATAATTGACCTTCTGTCGTAATGTCTCAAACAAAATTATTTTCAATTCAACAACAATATTTATTCCTCCTCAAAAGGTTTAATTATGGGAAATCCATTAAGCTCCTTATTTGCAGAAATTTTCATGGATAATTTAGAGAAGTCGAACCTTAAACATCCTTTGATTAAAAATTGTATGTATTGGCATATATATGTGGATGACGTTTTGGTATGTTTTACAGGTACTAAGAAGCAATTAGATAATTTTCATAGGGATATTAACTAAATTCATGAAAACATTAAATGCACTATTGAAATAGAAGCAGAAAACTCAATCAATTTCTTGGACTTAACAATTAGTAGAAGGAACAACAAACATGATATAATAGCATGATTCACAGATTAGTCAATGTTCCTCTTTCAATAGATAATTTCAATAACAACTTAATATCATCAAGCAAATTGCGGTTAACAATGGGTTTAAAGCCGAATTAATTAACAAAATACTTGCCAAGAAAGGCTACGCAAAAGCGATTCGAAACGTTTTTCCTATTGTAAGTTAGATAATCAAAATCAAAATTGAAGAGCTTTAACGTATTTTGGACAAACAACAGAAAAACTGGCTTCATTTTTGAGGAAACGAGATATTAAAATTGCATAGTAGAACAAGTAATACGTTGAGAAAGTTAGTTAAAAATAATAAAGACAAAACATCCAAATTCAAGAAATCAGTAGTATATAAATTAAAGTGAGGAACGTGTCCTAAGGTATATATTGGTCAAACTGGCAGAACATTTAGAAATCGAATCCAGGAACATCATATGAATAACAGATTCAAATCATCTTCTAGAAGAACATCATATCTTCAACGAAGAGTTCGAGATCTTGCACATAGAAAATGAAAGTTTGAAACTGAATCATTTGGAAGCAATGGAAATTGATAAACTTAAAAATTCAAACATTCTAATGAATGGCCAACTAGATATGAATAGATCACCGAGAAAGGATTATTATTGATGTAGGTGTGAGGTAATATGCTTTAGGTAATCATAATTCAACAGGTATCTTAGGTAGAGGAACAGTTTATTTTTTGGAGGTAGTCGCAATTTCATCAATAAACGGCCGAATCAATCAGAAAAAAAAAGATTGTATTCAGAAATGCCATTCATGAAGAGGTGGAAAAGAGTAGGGGCAAGGATGCTACCCTGGGGGACCCCTGTGGGAACCTCTTCAGAAGAAGAGGTATAATTTATACCTTTTATCTTGATGATACTCTCCTGTGATCTGTGGAGAAAAAATATTTGAACCAGTTAAGAGCAGAACCCGTTACTCCGGAGCAAATCGATGAACATCACATGGTTTTCTCTGTCGGAAGCTCTAGAAAGATCAAATTCTGGCTAAGTGTTTTTTTGTTACTGTCCAGGTGGAAGTATGGAATTTTAGAGGTATAAAATAGCATTTTGGGTCTCGAAATCGAACTGGTGTGTGGAGATAATTTTATATCTAGTGATAAAGTTCGTCAATCTTTGATGAAAAGATAATTTTTGAAATAAATTAAATAATGTTAATATTGTTGTCATAGTTTTAATGTTTTCTATTCGAAATATTGTTTGTCAAAGTTTCTTCTTCAAAGTTCAATATTACTCTCATGAATGTTACAAATAAAGATAACTACTGTATTGAAAATCAATAATTCATCGATACTCATAGGGATATGATTGATGTTGTATGTTGAAAACTGAAAAAACCGGGTGTTTCGATAATGAATGTCCTTCATACCTGACTTGGGAGTAAAACCGGAGAATAATACGGTGTTGAATAATCTCCTGAAACGATAACGACACAAGAAAAAGTCTTATTTAGTGCCACACAGCTCGCAATTGTGTTCAAATGAATGGTACATTAATACATTTTTTGCGAGACGAACCTCTGAGAATTGTAGAATTAAAGAAACAATGCCAATATACCAAAAGGATTGCAACAGTAAAAAGTGGACCCACTCTTGACGGCTTAACCGTGTGTCTCGTGCAAAAACCGCTTGATATTGTTAACAAAGTTCAGAAATCTGGACAGAATTTCGGCTATTTCGCCAATGACGATATCACTTTCGCGTTCCAATCTAGATGAATGTTGCGACATTTTGCGAATGAACAAGTAGGTAAGTTCTTCACTGAAAGAAAATATAGTAGGTTCGAGTTGTAGAAATCATTACATCTAGAGCATGAAAATTTGCATACAGAATAATCTACAAGTGTCTCTCTTGGATGACATTTACAAAAAAAAAAAAACAAATAAAATTCGTACGTTCTTACGAAGTTGTGAATTGAAAAATGTTTCGTCAGGCACTTCAGTTATACAAAAAATCCTTTTATGGTACCTTTAAATATTATGCCGTTAATTAATTTAAATTTAGTATTATGAGAAACTAATAATGTAGTACAGTGTTGCCAGTTTTATAAAGTAAATTTAGATCACATGCTTCAATTCAACCAATCATAGGATTTTAAAATATTATCAGAAAAAATATTTAGGTTCAGTGAAAAGTCACAACAAAAGTCGATTGGTGAAAATGGAAGTAAAATGAATCTAAATTGTTCAGAAACTCATCAACTCCAAATCAAATCAAATATCAGAAGATCCCGTAGGAAATTTCAAGTTTCCATAAGTTTAACAGGCTCTAATTTTGAATTTCGTAATAGATTGAATCCTTCACTATTATTAATAATATATAACTGATCAAAACATTCTTCCCATTTAGCAATGTTAATATTATACACGAAATGATGTGGCAACTCTGGTCTTCCTATGACCATGTTTTGTGAGAGGGGGGCGGGGAATTCCCATGTAAGCATCGAGTACGCACCAGTATGTGTTGGAAAGTGATGTGTGTTGTGATTTTATGGAGGAAATGTTTCATGTGTCTGTAGGCAGTGCAATTCTTTTCAGATTATTTTGTATCTACCATACCCTGCTGGGGACCGAATAAGGTTTTTAGAGTTCAGCAGAGCCGTACCCTAACCATCTGACCTGAAAGACCACTCACCATACAAACTAATCGGCTTCGTTCGGGTTCATTTGGTCGAGTGTGTATAGATGTAAGCCACAATAAACCCTTGCGGGTTGCGATGGAGGATCGAAAAGACTTAATCACTTTGGACCTAACCTAACCTAGGTCGGAAACTTTTGAGACCAACATTGCATTTGGGAGAGATTGGTTCAAATCTCAGTCTTACGAAACGCTTAGAAATCAATAGAATGAAGAATTTGAAACTATTGCTCGAAATTGTAACTCATATTAATCATTTGTCATTCATGATAATTTTCTGTGAGTAAATAATTTATTCAATAAATATCGACATAGTTACCGCAATAAGTCAACTTCTGAGAGTTTCTTGATCCATTCAACGCCATTGAAAAAATCTACTACATCAAGAATTTCTACAGTGGAAACAGCTAATCCACTTTCCACATAAGTAACTGTCTATCAAATCCTTCTTTCTACCTCCCGTTTTTGTAGCAGTGCTACAGAATTCGACATCTCATGGAAGCAACTGTACCTTCGGAAATGAAGAGTATCGAAATTGGAAGCATGAAATTATCACCAAACAAAGAAATTGCCTAATTATACATTGAAACTATTCTGAAACATCGATCCTCTTTCCTACGAAGCCGAGGAACTATCGTGCATGTCCTGCAATTCCTCCTCTTCCTTCGACAAAGGAATCGTAGAGTGATTGTACAGTCCCTGGGCCATCAGTTGGAGGGCTAACGGGTTTTTCTGGCCGGACGCCTTTTTGATTTTCGCCCGCTTGTTTTGAAACCAAATTTTGATTTGAGCTTCGTTCAAGCCTAGTTCTGCGCTCAACTGTTGCCGGCGTTTTTCCGTGAGGTATCGGTTTTCCGCAAACTCGTGTTTCAGTCTTGCTAACTGGGCACCGGAAAAAGCTGTCCTCGGCCGTTTTTCTTCTGGAAGAGGCGCGGTGGTTCCCAGAGATTTTATCCCCGATTTCTTTGGTCTTCTCGTTCGAGGACCTGTAACAAAAAAGTGTGGTTAATACTCAGTCGATTGATTTGTTCATTTATTTCTTCAGGTCGGTCGGTAGCCGATCGGTTCGCCGTGGGTTCTTTGTTCACTCACTCGAATTGACCGCCGTGGTGGTCGGTGGTTCAAGCCCCAGGCCAAACGATCGATTTTTCACTTGCTATCGTCCAACCCGTGTTATGCATTACACGTTAAAAGGTAAGAGGTTGAAAGGTAAAAGATATTAACAACGCCACTCACAAGATGTAACAGCAGTGAAGAACTCTCCCCGCAGTAAGTATCAGCACGAATTCCGACAGATCTGGTCATCGGAACTGTCGAGACCTATAGGTTTAGTTTTCGACACTGAACACGGTAACTCTGTTACCCGTTCAGCAAAACGCTCACATAAAAGCCGCAGAGATCACCTCACTTGTGCGGCAACATAAGGAGAAGCCAATTCATGGGGTCTTCTTCAATAACGTTGAAGACCTTGGCTTACCAAAGCGTCTGACTTTCGCTTTCCTCAGGTCGTCCGAAAAGAGGAGGAAAATAGGATAAAATATCGAAGATGAAATATCGATACCGCAGACTCTATTCAGACCACTCTCTCAAGATAGTTGTTCTGATTATTGGTGCCTTAGTGGAATGATGGCCTACTCTTGAATCTCAAAATCATACCGGCTTGCCGCACTAGGGCAGAAATCTTAGCCGGACAGATGCAGAAGACTATCATTTCGGACCCAATGATCACTCACCCTACGGTGTGAGGAGAGGTTGTTGGTTGATAATGCTGGCGCGCCTTCCGAATGTATCGGGGCTTCGGGAGGCCTGACCAGCGAAAACTTAGATTGAAAAAAATAATAATAACAATAATTGGTATCGAGTCTTAAGTTGGCGCCTCCCGAAGAGGAAATGTTGGTGTTTACTTATAATAATACCAACTTTGAGCCTCACAGATCCATTTTGAGAGTTG